GAGAGACACAGGAGGAGACATGCCTCATTTGATTTTCTCATATTGGTTTTTTCCTTCCTCTGCAGAGGCTTGCAGGGTGTTTCAACACGTGTATATCTGGGTGACTGTGCGCAGGTTAGATTTATGCAGTCAGATTGTGAAAAGAAGCCCCGAGCTGCAAGGTTCAGAAGCACGAATGTGAATAATGTATTAATTGCCTCTGTTCATTTTAAATCGCACCGCTCAACACCTTTTTGCCTCTTGAAACGTCCAATCTTGTGAACTGTTTGTTCCACCTGACCGCTTTAGTTTTGGGTTAGAAAAAAAGGCCGGCTTACTGTGGACTAAAAGCTAAACTGGAAAGATGGGGCTGGGTGGGGGATAGCTTTTCAGATTTGGCCAGCTTTCTGTGATTAAATCATCGTTATTTCTTATCATTTGGAAAGTTCAGAAGGGCTTTCAGCACACCTCAGAATGGTGGCATATGGAGACTTTAAAGTGTAGTTATATTCTTGTGTAGATTGTACTGCTGAGTTCTCTACAGCAATTTATCCCTCAGTTCATTGCCGTTTGTGCAGACTCCAGGTTGCATGTTGTCTTCCTTTATTTTGTAAAGCTTTTTTACAAACGCTGCCTTTTTTTTTTTCCTTAATTGTCCTTCCACGGTCATTGTTTGTGTGCAAAAGTTTGAACTTTAGTCTTCCAAGTGTGTCCTGCTTTAACATATATTGTATATACACAAACTGTATATTCAGCAATATAAAGCTGCTGGTTTTCACTTCCAGAGACGTATCAGGTATGATTCTTGTATTCTGAATGGCAGCTGCGAGTCTTGCCTTTGGGTTGATATTGTGTTGAGATTGTTATAAACAGACGACCACCAGCAGCACTGATCTGAAATAAATATATCAGCTACTTTGAAATCTTGAATATCGTGTCTGTGTCGCTTTTGGACCAAATGCACTCATTAGGTACACCTGTTTAACTTCTTGTTAACACATATCTAATCAGCCAATCGCATGCCAGCAACCCAACATCTAGATGTGGCCAAAAATACCTGCTGAAGTTCAAAATGAGCATCAGAACGAGAGAAGAAAGGTGATTCAAGTGACTATGAACTTTGATCTGTTCAGCTTGTCCCCACACAGACATCTCTAGAGAATGAGAACATTTCTTGAGCATTACAATGAGTTCACTATACTTAAATAGCCTCCACAGTCACCAGATCTTAGTGCATTAGAACATCTTTGGGATGTGGTGAAACGGAGGATTTCATTCATGGATGTACAGCTGACAAATTTTCAGCAACTGTGTGATGCTATTATGTCAGTATGGACCAACATCTGCGAGGAATGTTTATAGCACCAGTACTAGCAAGGTGTAACTAATGAAGTGGCTGCAGAGTATATAATACATGCCCTGCTGTTGCCAGCCATAAAAGAGCACTTGAGGGAAAACACCACTGGAGGTCACTGTTAGCTTACCTGACGTGATACGTAAAGGAGGGTCTCTTGACATAAATTACATGTTTGTGTGTCTCTGAGCCTCATTAGGTGTGGCCACTCATGGTACTTTGACACTTTATGACACTTTGCAGTCATTTACTTGCGCTTTTCTGCTTTTATCTGAATATTGCTCAGCTATTTATTGCAAAACGTTCAAATCCTGTGTGTACCATGGGACCTCGCACATGCAGAAACACTGCACCAATAACATCTTTCTCTGCTCTGTACCTCTGATTCTTCCACCTCTGCTGTTCTCAGTGAACACGCTCGGGTTACCAGCTGTCAAAAGTTGCCAGCACAATTGATCCGTTTCTGCTCTGCTTAAAGCAGGCTGACTTTTGAGTTTCAGGTATTCTGCGTTTCCTGTTCCAGTATCTTATTTATACAGCAGCAGAAGTGGTAACAGACGAGTGTGTTCATGTGAGCGTGGCCCAGGAAGTCACGGTCTTGTTTTTTTTTCAGCCAAGGGTGTCAAATTGAATAAGAATGTGACTGTTTTTCAGACAGTAACCCCGCCCTTACACTGGTAATGACTACAGAGATGATAAAATCAGACTCAGAAACCCATGAGAGATATCCGGTGTAATTTTAAAAATTCTTTAATTTATATCTTTAAAATTAAAAACATCTGAATTGCATTCTACCACCTCCAAAGGCACAGTCATACTTAGAGCAGACCAAAATTCAAAAAACACTGCCACTGAACATCTTTTTTTTTCCCATTTTGTTTTGTACATAAGAAACAACGCACTATAAAAATGACGAACATTTTTTTTCCTTTTTTAGTGGGTAAACAATGGCCATTCTGCACGCTGTAGATCATTAAAAGACTGGAGTGATATGTACTCAGCTGTGGTAGCGCTAGACTTCGTATAAAGGATGATGTGCTGGTTTGAGGCTGGCAATGCCTGTGAAAAAACACGCACTGCTATTTATAGACAGTATTGACAGAAATGAAAAAGGAATATGACAACTGATCTCCATGAACAGTGTTTTAGAAGCAAAACAAAGCCATCGGGCGTGAGAGTGAGAAAAAAAAACACAGTGAGACGAGGGGAATGAGATGAGCGGTGGTGGAGGACTGAGCAGATCTCTCACCTCGGTCGATTTCTCTGAATCTCACCGAGGGGTGAGAGACATTTGCATGAAATCTGACGCCTCCATCTCACCGTTTAAAAAAAAAAAAAAAACACCTCGAAGAAAGTGAGGGGGGAAAAAACAAACAAAAAAACTTTTTAGACAATAAAGTCAACATGTGCAAAGAGGCAGGGCCTTACTTAGCCTGTGAGTGGAAAAGTCATCAGATATGAAAGAGGATCGATAACCGAACGTACAATCACAAATCAATAATGCACACGAGGGTCGCTTACAATGTGTGACAACACAGCACCGTACACTGCACAAGAGGTTCACTTAGTGACAACGAAATTCAAAATAGTGGATAAATATACAGTAGAATATAAGTATTTCACCGTTCTTACTCAGGCACAGTTCTTAAAAAAACAAAAGACAGAAAGAAAAATCAGCGAGGATCAAAGCAAACCGGTTTGGCACCCAGAAACACACAAATGTGGGGAAAAAAACAGAAACAGAATGAAATAAGGCAAAAACATAACGAGTCAAGGGCAAATGAGGGCACAGAGGAACTTAATGGGTGGACAGAATTGAAGCACTTAAACATAAACTATGGTACACGTACGGCACTTCTCTCTCTCTCTCGTGGGAACCAGATGTTCTTGTTCAAAAAAAAAGGAAAAAAAACAGAGAATTTTTTTCTTGCAGCAACTAACAGGAGTTCCTACTTCACAGCTGGAGCTTCATCTTTACAAGTGTTTGTGGCAGCTGAGGTAGGCACTCCGAGAACACGAGAGCTTTTCTTTTTTCTTTTTTGTCTTTTAACAGGTGAATCACACAGGAAATCTGCACACACCATCAAAAAAAAATAAAAAATCAAACCATGAATGCTCTAGAAAATATCTACACAACAGTCACCACTCGGCATGAGTCACGCAAACAGACGCGCACGACCGGGTAAAAACGCGTGTTTACTTGGCCTCTACAAATAACAGCAGAGCGGTGTGACCACAGTGCTCGTACAAGCTGACACATACAAAAAAGTCGCCTGCTGTCTTTAAAAAAAAAAAGAAGCAACAACAACAAAAAACCCCTACGCTCCCACAAAGCGGTAAATGATGTAGTGATTAAATTAAACACCGCTTACGGTCCGCTCCACACACAAACACACACACACCCCGCAGTGCCTTTTAAAGACCACTTTGATACGGCAGTGACAGTGGTGGGAGGGCGAGCATTCGTTTTACAGCAATGAGAGGGAAAAACAGCGAGGCTCCGGCGCGATGAGGAGATAAACGAAAAGAAGTGCCTGGCTTTAGTTTGTTTTGTTTTTACAGATTCATACAACTGAAGGTCCTCTCTGCATCAAGAGACCCCGGGTTTCTGAAGCCACGTCCTGTTACAAAACGCCACTGACTGTGGGAGTAATCAATGGTGGCGACAGGCGGTCGTGCCATCCGGGCAGCAGCAGTTACTGACTTGAGTGTGTTTTGATTGTGTGCGCCTGAGCACTGCACGCAAACAGAACCATATGCAGCGAGAGTGCACGCGGGCGCAACTCAACAAGCTCTATATACAGGTGTCAGGGGGTATAAATTACTGTTCTTTGTACATCGGCGTGTGTGTCTGTGAGATCGGCACATGTCATTTACACTGCGGCTAGTTGTCAGCTGACCCGGTGGCGAAGAGAACTCTCTGGTCAGTTCTGGCCAGCTTGGCAGGCGGCTCCAGAGACTCCTCTCCGAGCACGGCCCCGTCTGAGGGAAGGGACAGCTCCTGACCTTCTTCATCACTCTCCTCCTCCTCTTCTTCTTCCTCTTCTACAACAGACAGCATAACAGAGATGGTTACCAGCAAAGCTTAGAGCACAGGTGTCAGTTAAGACGAGCTACATCAGAATCAGTGCAGACCTTTATCCGGATCCAGCTGGTTCAGACCTCGGCCTAAGCTGGCAAACTAATGGCAAGAGGGGATTTGGTTAGTGGTGTAAATGTGGCTTACACTATTATATGAATGTATTTGCATTTCTGGATCCGTGTATGTTGATACCTCTCCCATAACAGCAATGGGGGTCTCTCCTTTAGCCTGGGCCACTCTGTGCTCGATAAGGTAGTACATGTACTCGTCGTATAGCAGACGAATCAGGTGAAAGGATCCGAAGCTGGCGGCACTCCGCAGGGTGAGGTCTCTGATTACCATGGAACTGAGGAACAGAAATGGGAAACAAGCCACTCTTCACACATGTACCACTTCTCTAACTTACAAACAGAAACTGCTTTTTTTCCTCTCTGTCTCATTGCTTTACTGGGACACGGTTGACACCACGAGTCAAGTCAGTGATTTCTCACTAATCGCAGCTTATTTACTCAATTTGAGTATTTGATAAGTTCCTTCAATAAAGCTGTGTGATGTGGGGAAGTGTAGATTTTAAATTTCAGTTCTGCTATTTATTCCAGACAGGTCTGAGAGCGACTCAGAGCCTTCGGATTTCCATCCAGTCTCCAAAGGAGGCAAATGAATGGCAACTGACTTGTAATGACCTGCTTGACTAAGACCCTGCTTATG